ATTCGCATTCTACACAAGAACCGAAAAAAAAACAACAATTTTAACCTTCATCACCTCTTCAACATCATTCAATAACTTGAATCTCTTCAGCATCTTCGAGAAGTTTTCATTTTAAGAAACAATTCACATAAACAACCACTAAAAGTTATTCAAGTTCAAATCATGTATTCTATTGACTTCTTTTACATTTCCACTTGAAGAAATATCTAACTTTTCATATCTAGTTCTTTGTTAACGCAAATCATTGAAATTGTGTAGCAGCAAGAGTTTTATTACTCTTACGCCGCGATTCGCATTCTACACAAGAACCGAAAAAAAAAAACAACAATCTTCGTGAAGTTTTCACTTAAAGAAACAATTTACATAAACAACCACTAAAAGTTATACAAGTTCAAATCATATATTCTATTGACTTCTTTTACATTTCCACTTGAAGAAATATGTAACTTTTGATATCTAGTTTTTTGTTAACGCAAATCATTGAAATTGTGTAGCAGCAAGAGTTTTATTACTCTTACGCCGCGATTCGCATTCTACACAAGAACCGAAAAAAAACAACAATTTTAACCTTCATCATCTCTTCAACATCATTCAATAACTTGAATCTCTTCAGCATCTTCGTGAAGTTTTCAATTTAAGAAACAATTTACATAAACAACCACTAAAAGTTATACAAGTTCAAATCATGTATTCTTTGACTTCTTTTACATTTCCTCTTGAAGAAATATTTAACTTTTGATATCTAATTCTTTGTTAACGCAAATCATTGAAATTGTGCAGCAGCAAGAGTTTTATTACTCTTACGCCGCGATTCGCATTCTACACAAGAACCGAAAAAAAAACAACAATTTTAACCTTCATCATCTCTTCACCATCATTCAATAACTTGAGTCTCTTCAGCATCTTCGTGAAGTTCTTCACTTTAAGAAACAATTCACAAAAACAACCACTAAAAGTTATACAAGTTCACATCATGTATTCTATTGACTTCTTTTACATTTCCACTTGAAGAAATATGTAACTTTTGATATCTAATTCTTTGTTAACGCAAATCATTGAAATTGTGTAGCAGCAAGAGTTTTATTACTCTTACGAAGCGATTCGCATTCTACACAAGAACCGAAAAAAACAACAATAATTTTAACCTTCATCATCATTCAATAACTTGAATCTCTTCAGTGAAGTTCTTCACTTTAAGAAACGATTCACATAAACAACCACTAAAAGTTACACAAGTTCACATCATGTATTCTATTGACTTCTTTTACATTTCCACTTGAAGAAATATCTAACTTTTGATATCTAATTGTTTGTTAACGCAAATCATTGAAATTGTGTAACAGCAAGAGTTTTATTTATGTTATTGCAAATCTTTTTGATAAATTGCAGTTATTGAAGAAAGTTTGAGTTAGTCGAAACAGTGTCTATTTTGAGCTGTTGTAGGTATGCAAGTATATAAATATTTTTTTTTTAGTAAATGGCTTCTTCGGGTCCGAAGGACGTAATGAGAATGCGTGCTCCATGAACACGAATCTTATTATTATGGTGTAGACCCGTGCCATAGCGCCATGTTAACATCCAGCGCGCTCTTTCTCTAATTACCTTGTTACCTACACGAGATACCACCGCGATACTAGACCCTGTTTAGATCACAATCAACCGGAAGCGGACGCTTTTTTCCATCCATCCCTCCCGCCTTCCCAGCTCATGCAAAACGGAAAGATGACGGCGCACGAGCGTGACACTTCCGGATGTGTCCATCTACGTCTCATCCTGTTGCAGCAACAAGTATTTGCTGCTGCTGTTATTTGCTCCTGCAGCGAGAAGAAGGAGCAGCAGGCATTGTAAATTTATATGCAAATCGCTCGCACGAAATAAGCGAATGAATAAAATATGTATATTATATAAATGCATGTATGATTGCAGCTCTATATAGGGGAATGCCTGCTATAAATAATCCGTACACATGCCGTCATAAACACATCTGATAAACATGTAGTTGATTTTAACGATGTCGTAAACTATCAACGCAAGTTAGTAACCGCTCTCCGCGAGCGCAGGGAACGAACGAGCACTCTCCGCCAAAGAAAACGTACACTCACCGAATACATCTAATTCCAACCTTCTTCATCTGCACCGCACTTATCACCGTGCACTATTATCATAACTATTTCCCAACAACATCAATCTTCCTACCTGCGTCAATTAAATTGATTTTGAACAGATTTACACCAGATCTTTTAATTCAATAATTGATTGATTGATGATATTAATGAGCTTAAAATCAAATACAGAATTGATTTGGCAAAGTTTACACAAACTAAAACTCTTTGAAATATGAAATAACATGCAGTATTCATGGAGATATTACATTAAGTTTAAGGAAGCTTTCAAGTGCATTTGCCGTTGTAGTATATTAAATAACTCAAAAGTGAACTCGGGCTATGATAAATGTGTAATGTGTTTAGTAAATCTGAACGAAAGTCGGAATTCCCAAGTTTACGCACATAGATCAGTCAGAAAGTGGAGAAAGATCTTTGGTGAAAGGAGCATTTCATATACTGAATATACTTTTTATTATATTCTCCTTTCTGAATAGAAAACAATCAATGTAAATTTTAAATAAACATTATTTATTGAATTAATTTGCATTTACATATTTATAAAAAAAGTTACATGAAAATAGTAACAAATAGTAATAGACAAACAAAATATTTTTTTTAAATTGGAACAAACAAAAATTAATTGAAAACTTTCCTCCTTCAGGTTTTGGAAAAATAATGTTGCTTCATGTTTGATATAATTACTTTAAAATTTGGGACTTTTTGATGTAAGAGCAATTTGAATACAGTCTTCGATTTCTGTTTTTCGTTTTTATGTTCATTAGAGTGGAAAAGCCTTGTTCACAAAGGTAGGTTGTTGCAAATGGCAGCAATTTTTTTACCGCCTCATCATGTGCAATGTTGAAAGCCTTTGCAGCCTTTGACAACCAAAAAGACTACAGAATTGCTCTGATCTCAAATTGAAAACGTGCTTCAGTATTGGATGGAAGTTCAAGAATTGCCTCTGCCAAACCTGGAGGTTCTGCTGGTATGTTAGTAATTTCACGTTTAAAAGGATCTACAACCCAATTCACAGTTTGTACATCAAGATCTGAAAAGTAGTCAGAGAACCGCTCTCTGAGTTTGGTAAGATGAAATTAGAAAAATTTTCATTTTTACCCCATTTTGGGTAATTTACCCCGGTTCCCCGACCGTTGTATTAGATAATAACATTATAATCTGTATTGAAAAAAAAAGGTTTTTGTGTTTCAATTTTGAACTTTTTTTTTGAATGCAATGTGAGGAAATATTTAAGTGGTCTAAAATCCCCGTGGGGACTTTCGAAATGTCCAGAAGCAATGCAGCAATTAAGCGAAATTCTAGTTGTTGTTATATTTGAGTGAGTGAGTGTGTGTATGCAAATTTGCGTTTGCAAAGGTTGCGGTCTATAAGGAAGTGTGCCTCAAGCTCACGGCGATGTGATTAGTAATCAGGTGTTGCCGAGTGTATATGTGAATAAGTTTTTTATTTGTTGCTGCTGCAATTTCTTGTTCTTGCTGCTTTAGCTATCAGCAAATAATTGCGGCCCAGATACGTAAGCGAAAGAAAGTGTAAAAATACATTGACTGCATAACGATCTATCTGTCTATCTCCAAGGCTGCTGCGATCGCTAATTGTGCAGACAATACAAAAAAAAAATTGGAGAGAAAGATCTAATATCGTGGGGGCAATCTCGGTGGCGTTGCGTGCCGTTCATGTATGAGCTACTGCTTTCTATGATTGGCCATTTAATGTTTTAACGCTCCACTTGGCAGTTAATTAAAATAACGGCAAAGCGAGCAGCAAACGGCAGCAAAAGCAACAACCGAAGAAGAAGTGGAAGTGGTAGTAGTAATAGTAGTTGTAGCTGTAGCAGTAGAAGATTGGCAAGATCCTCGTTAGTAATTACATTTTAATTGCAGAACTTCAAGGAGCAGAGGATAGACGGATCGGGGCTGCCGCTGCTGACCGAAGACCATCTCACCTCCACGATGAACATGAAGCTGGGTCCGGCGCTGAAGCTGAAATCCGTCCTCGCGAAGAAACTGGGCTCGTGCAGCGTGTGTCTGCACTGCTCCCATTGCCACACCTCCAACAGTCCGGAATCCGGACACACAACAGGAAACAACTCGGATTCCGGCGGAAATTCGTAATGCGTGTTTGTGTGTGTGTAGACCATCATCATCATCATCATGGACATCATCAAATGATCAACAGAAGCGTGGACCCTCAAACAAACAAACATTAAGAATTAAAAACGGGAATCACAAACACTGCCCTCCATTTTCAAAACCCCTTTGATTGATAGAAAAATAATTTCGTACGTAAATTTGCAACGTAAGAATTAACGAAATACATACATTAAACTAGTCCCGGGAAAACAAAAGAAAAACGAAAGAAAAGCACAATCGCTTTGTCTATTTATATTATTATTATTTTATTTTCGCAATATAGTTCCTAACTTTTAAGTACATTATCGAGATCGGACTATATATATATATATATATTTAAATACAGTGGAACCTCGCATAACGCAGCTTTCGCTTAACGAGCAAAATGAATTGTAAGAAAAGTGATTCGCTTAACGAGCGAAGTTTCGCATAACGAGTGACGATGAGAAGAGAAGTCCCGGATTGCACATATTATGTGTATACAATTTAAAAAAATAAACACATACACTAAACGATTAATTTCGTAAACGATGTAAATAATTCATGTACATAGAAATAGAGAGAGAGAAATGAAATTGTTGCTCAAATATTTAACGAATGTCGCGCGCGAATACGAAACGTAAAACGAAACAAAATACATTTATTGCATTTGTTTGTATCTTTATATATATATATATTATTATTTTTTTTTGTATCGACTTTAATATTTATGCATGTATACGTATTTTTTAGTGTATTTTATTACATGAACGCGCACACGCAATTTGTTTTCTTATTATTTCATCTTTCCCCCCCATTATATAACTTTAATAAATATTTTGAAACGTCGTTGATGCCTGCAAAATTTCTAAATGTATCTGTGCGAAAACAATTCGTTTATTATTATTTTCTGTTTGTTCTGTGTTCACACTTGCATTTTTTTTATGTTCTTTTATGTTTCATTATCTTCTGTACAGTATTTTTTATTTTATTTTATTTTTTAAAATTGTTATTATATAAATTTACTTAATTGTACCTTATTAATAATAAATTAATAATCACAGCGTTTCTTTTACTCTAGTTTTTATTTATACCAACTTTACATTATGATTATGTTTTGAAAATCTAAACTTAAACCTATTACTGAAGACAATGAATAATAAATCTTCATGTTGTACCAAGAAAATTAGCTAATTTCTTTATATTAATAACAATAATTCGTCTTCCAGTAATGAGTTTCCTTCTGGAAATTCCTTAACATTTAGCTGGGTCCTGTCGGTAGGATCATTTACTATCTACAATAATTAAGCAAAGTGGTGAGTGTCAGGTCGAAACCTCTGCAAAACCAGTAAATCGAGGGGGAAACAATTCCCTGGAAAGCCTCGACCTGTGACCTAGTGTTTCAACAGTGTGTATGTGGCCTAACAGAAGGAAAAAATGGATGAACTTCAGATCGGTTATGTAGCTGTGTTTTGTTTTGTTAAATGGAATGCAGTGAGGTACGCATACCAACAATTGTTGAGTAAGGTTGTATGAATGTTTATAGTTTTGTTAAAGAGCGGCGTTAGTTGTTAGTTGTATAAAATTGATGATGGCCTTATATACTTCCGTGCAGTTTTGATCTATGAAGGTTTCGACAGAAGTGGGCAACTGTTGGTGTTTCGAAATGATACAAAGTAGTCTTCGTCACCACCTATAGCTCTACATGAACAAAGGTTCGTCTCAGATAGTCCCACTCTGTATAGATGAGATGGGGATAAAGAATGCCCAGAACGTATTCTTGAGAGTGCGGAGACTTGACGTTTTTTTATAGATACCTAGAGGAACCATGGGGAATAACAAAAATTATATAATAGAAAATAGTCAATAACTGTTTGCAGCGCCACCTCGTAAATACGGAATGCGTCTGAACTAAGTACGTTCTCAAAGAATTAATCAATTCTGATTTGCATTAAGCTAAACTGTAGTCAAATCTATTTTCATATTAATTGTTTACGTATATACTAAAATAATTTGACGGGAAAGTAGGAAATTCATTGATTTATTAAAGAATAAAATGATTGTATGTATATGGTATACAACCCAAAATACAGACGTGTAAATAGAGTTGCCTATATTATACAAACAAATTTTGTTTTAAATTGTTAACAACAGCTCTAATTAATTCCTATAATGCAGTGGTCAGCAAATTTATTAGCCAAAGAGCCAAATATGAACATTACAACAATTTAAAAAGAAAATGGGAGCCAAATCTGCTTGTATAGTACACTAAATAAAACTAAATTTCATACTTAATAAATATTTATTAATGCGAACAATGTGCTTGCATCTCCTTGGAAAGTTTGAGTAAATCAGGTTTGTATGTTGTTGCGCCTACATCAGCGTTCGGGGAACTTTTTAACCATTACCCCAAAATATTTATTGCGTAAATCGATATTACCACCCCCCATTCTGAAAAGAAAACAATCAATGTAAATTTTAAATAAATAATATTTATTGAATTAATTTGCATTTACATATTTATAAAAAAAGTTACATGAAAATAGTAACAAATAGTAATAGACAAACAAAATAAAATTCTTATATTGGAACAAACAAAAATTAATAGAAAACTATCCCCCTTCAGGTTTTGGAAACATGATGTTGCTTCATGTTTGATATAATTACTTTAAAATTGGGACTTTTTGATGTAAGAGCAATTTGAATACAGTCTTCGGCGTTTAATCGATTTCTGTTTTTCGTTTTTATGTTCATTAGAGTGTAAAAGCCTTGTTCACAAAAGTAGGTTGTTGCAAATGGCAGCAATTTTTTTACAGCCTCCTCATGTGAAATTTTGAAAGCCTTTGCAGCCTTTGATTGAAGTTCAAGAATTGCCTCTGCCAAACCTGGAGGTTCTTCTGGTATGTTAGTAATTTCACATTTAAAAGGATCTACAACCCAATTCACAGTTTGTACATCAAGATCTGAAAAGTAGTCAGAGAAACGCTCTCTGGGTTTGGTAAGATGAAATTAGAAAAATTTCCCTATTACCCAAAAAAAAAAATCATTTTTACCCGATTTTGGGTAATTTACCCCGGTTCCCCGACCGCTGGCCTACATGGATATTTGTGCCAGAGCCGCACTTAAAGAACCAAAGAGTCACATGCGGTTCTGGAGCCGCACTTTGCCGACCACTGCTATAATGTAAAAGTTTATACGTGTCTTTTAAAATTTATTAAGATAACAAAAGTAGTATATCAATTTACATCATACATTCGAGGTCTCTCCTAACAATTCGAAAGTTGTTATTTTGTTTCCACCTGACACCAGTAACTTAGATCTTCAGATAATAAAAACAGTGGCTGGCGAAATTGTGCAAGATGCACAAGCCAAGTGAAGTGTGGAGAAGAAAAGAAGTAGAAGACGAAATTGTTAAGCTTTGAATTTAAATTATGTCTTCAATATGTTTATTAAAATACTTAAAAGCAATACGATTTTATTGTATTTTTCAAAAATTTGATTTTTTGAAACTTCTTCATTAATTACTTAAATTGCAATTGTTTTCATAGAAACAATGATTATTATCAGATTAGGAGAAACATTTTTTTTTTGTCAAAATAGTTTAATAAGGATTTGCAAATAACATAATAATTTGAGGGTAATAATTAAAATTTGAATTATGTTCTAATATTCTTTATTCTAAGCTTGCGTTTGATTACAAATTCCGAAAAAAAAAACACAGTTATACGCTATATAGATAAATAAACTACGCTCTGGGTTACATGTGGTGCATTGCAGGATATGCTCTAATCAGGATAATTGGGGGAAGGAAAAGGATAAAAATTCAATATTTCTGGATATGTAGCGTCGCAGGTGAGAGAGAGTGCATCGTGAAGCGTCAGAAGTTTACTTCTTGAAGCAGCTGACCGGGTTGAAGTAGCATTGACGGAAACGGCTCTGCCTCTTCATCTCCGGAGATCTGATCATCCTCTCCCATCCAACAGGAAGATCTCTGTTGTATTCGGCCAATCGGTGGGCCAACATCTCCAGTTGAAGATCGCTGAAACCGGGCGATCCAAGAGCGTTGCCGCCATCAGACTCCTGCTCGCCCAACACCTTGAAACAAAGAGAAAAAAGAAAACACAGAATCGGAAAATCCGTCGACTGAATATGACAGGGATTTGATGAATGCACGATGATGCTTCGATCTTCCATTGAGCGAACAAAACAAACAAAACACAACCGGGGATTAATGCTATGAATATTGTTTATTGGTAGCTTATCTTCGATAACAGTATATTACAATAATGAACGTAATCGTGGCTGGAGGCGCGGATGAACAAGTATTAACCGAGACTAGATTCTAAACCTTCCCTCGCTCTCTCTTTTGTTTTTGATTTAGAAACAACTGACTGGGTTAAAGTAACACTTGAGCCTGTTGGTCTGACGTTTGCTGGGCATATCCATCGTGTCCCATTCGTAATCGCTCGATCCAGCTGCGTCCAGGATTCGCTCGACGTCTTTGCGGAGGTACGCCAGAACCATCGGATCTTCGAGCAGGCCGGCCAGGTCTTCGGCCGACAATCCCTGGATACAAGAATATCAACACACACTGTATTCACGCGCACGCAATTCGCGAACACTAACATCAAACATTATTATAACTTCTTTATCCTCTCTACCTCATCCCTCCCGCCCTTTCCTTTTTGCACACTATTTTAAATGCCGCGCGCCCGGAATCCTGTCTCCGCCTCAAAATCCAGGATTAAAACCATTAAAACTTGATTGCATTTTAATTAAACTACTTAGCTCAACTTCTTATTTTAGTTTCTGCTTTTCTTTTCCTACTCAATGCAACTTTACCAATTCAATTAAGCTTACTTCTTAATGCAAGCACGTACACATTCCAACTTGTACTAAATACAAATCACTACTGTTTACAATTAAATTTAATTATTATACTAATTTTCTTAATTCAGTTTCAACAAATCTTTAACTAATTTAATTAAGCATTAAGCACATACAACTTAGACTAAATAAAAATCACTACTGTAGTAATTATATTTAAGATACCTTTGGAAATTGTATCAATGGTTGCGTCACCAATTATTAAAATCGGTTGGCAATATGATTGTTATGTAGTTACGTCATTTGAAAATACCAAATTTACAATTAAAATAATTACAAAAATATAACATAGTTTATATTTGTAATAAACAAACTAATTATTTATACACAAATATTATTTATAAGTTGGCAACATGTTAAAAAAGTGTCAAATCTAATAAAACAAAATGTGATAGTCGAATAGCACGAATTTACTTTCTATACAAATCATGTGTTTTTTTTTAAATAAATTTGCTTCTAAGAAATCTTCAAGGAAAATTGTGAGTTACATTTTTTATTTATTTAATTAATAAGCTTAAAATGTAAGTATTTATTTATTAATTTCAATTATAAACATTCTTCACATGCTGATCTAAACTGACAGCGTTTTTATTGATTGCAGCCTACTATAATTAATTATTATAATTAGTATTTAAGTTGGCAACATGTTAAAAAAGTGTCAAACCTTATAAAACAAAATGTGATAATCGAATAGTACTGAATAGTACGAATTTACTTTCTATAAAAATCATGTGTTTTTTTTTTAAATAAATTTGCTTCTAAGAAATCTTCAAGGAAAATCGTGAGTTACATTTTTTATTTATTTAATTAATAAGCTTAAAATGTAAGCAATTACTTATTAATTTCAATTATAAACATTCTTCACATGCTGATCTAAACTGATTGCGTTTTTATTGATTGCAGCCTACTATAATTAATTATTATAATTAGTATTTAAGTTGGCAACATGTTAAAAAAGTGTCAAACCTTATAAAACAAAATGTGATAGTCGAATAGCACGAATTTACTTTCTATACAAATCATGTGTTTTTTTTTTAAATAAATTTACTTCTAAGAAATCTTCAAGGAAAATCGTGAGTTACATTTTTTATTTATTTAATTAATAAGCTTAAAATGTAAGTAATTATTTATTAATTTCAATTATGAACATTCCTCACATGCTGATCTAAACTGATTGCGTTTTTATTGATTGCAGCCTACTATAATTAATTATTATAATTAGTATTTAAGTTGGCAACATGTTAAAAAAGTGTCAAACCTTATAAAACAAAATGTGATAATCGAATAGTACTGAATAGTACGAATTTACTTTCTATACAAATAATGTGTTTTTTTTTTTAAATAAATTTGCTTCTAAGAAATCTTCATGGAAAATCGTGAGTTACATTTTTTATTTATTTAATTAATAAGCTTAAAATGTAAGCAATTACTTATTAATTTCAATTATAAACATTCCTCACATGCTGATCTAAACTGACAGCGTTTTTATTGATTGCAGCCTACTATAATTAATTATTTTAATTAGTAATAAACTTAACTTATTAATATGATGATTAAATGACAGACAAAAAGCTGATGATGAAAACGACATCGAAAGAATCAACGAGGATTTACCTGGCTGGAATCGCCGAAATGCTGGGGTCTGGCCGAAACCAAGGAGGAGACGATCAGCATCACCAGGACGCTGCGAGAGATCAACGAAACCATGTTGCACACCATCTTCGTACTGCAATTAAAAAGAAAACAGTTAATTACACACACCAAACTGTAATTAATGGAAACTGAAAACAGAAAGCTCGTTATTAGTTGGTGACCGCAAGGAGAATCGCTTTGGCAAGTAGTTTGCATTCGAATTGTCTTGGGGTTCGAACGTTTCCATTAAACTTGCTCAATTTTGCGACTCAACGTTTCACACGTAAGCCAATTAATCCTCGCAATTTTCGTTTCAATTAATTAAACACTTATTCATCATTTCAGATGAAGACCCAATTAAGAAATCTCTTTCGTTCGCTCGCAATTTTCACCTGTTGTCAACATGTCAGGTAAGAGAATTCCCATTTTCCTGTAGCATGTTTAATTTCATACCGCCTGGCTTATGTATTTTCTTTTTACGTTCAACTCGGCAACAAGTTGCTGTTGTTTTCCTGAAATTAGAGTCAACAAAAAATAAGAAAACCTTTGATTTTTGTATATATTTTTATATCGAAGAATTGGATCGATGAAGCACAGTTCCATTGTATCCAAAGTCTGGATGTAAAGTAGGAAATTTATTCCGAGCTGTGCAAGTTTATAGTTTGCTCTTCGAGAATACGCGCTCACACACGATAAGTCAAGACGGTTCGAGTTACTCGGATCTCCTTTCGACGCACGTAAACTAACTTTACATCTACTTTATTTCGACGTTATCCGACAAGATTTAGTTACTTTATTGTCTCTAGATACAAAAAAAAAAACTGAGATCACAAGATCAAACTTGTTAAAATATTGGTATTATTTTCGTTTTATTATAAAATCTTGCAGCGTAATTGGTTTAAAGCGAACGGATGTTAATTTGATTCTCCCGCGTCTTTCGAAATCCAATTACGATGCATTATCACACCTTTTACGGAGCGCTCCTGAAGCCTAATGTAATTCGCGACACGTGTTTTGTATTCCATAAAAGCTTTCGCTTCATCTTTTATTTTTTTTACGCTCGCAAAAGTTTTGATTAACATTTTTTTTTTTCGAACCACTTGAAACTACCCGAAACGCGGAATAACATAATTAACAAGGCAACTTTCTCGTGCACATTCAAACTATTCCAAAGGTCGAGTTATAATTGGAAACAAAAAAAATAGAGAAATAATATCAAAAAAAAATTGATGCTGGACATTGATTTGATTCAATATTTGTTTTTTGCTTTCGTAATTCAATTTTACATCAATGTTGTTGCAGTCGCGATTTTTCAGTTTCCCTAAAAATGTTTGCTCCGCAATTGAATTATCTTTTGACCATAAAAAAAAAGGGCTGCAGTTGCAATGAAAAACCCAAAATGAAAATGACATTCAATTATTGATGGATTTTTGTGTGTTGTTGTTCTCTATTTGTTTGCTTTTTTTTTCAATTTGATGCAGAGAGTCGAAATGGAACCGAAAACCGAAATTTACTGGAATTTTTAACTGAACCGTAACTGTAATCGGAACGAAAAATTGCTCAATTGAAAAAAAAACGGAACCGGAACGAAATTTTAATTACTGTTAATTTGAATATTGATTGATTTTTGTGTGTTGTTGTTCTCTATTTGTTTGTTTTTTTTTTCAATTTGATGTAGAGAGTCGAAATGGAACCGAAAACCGAAATTTATTGGAATTTTTAACTGAACCGTAACTGTAATCGGAACGAAAAATTGCTTAATTGAAAAAAACGAAACCGGAACGAAATTTTAATTACTGTTAATTTGAATATTGATTGATTTTTGTGTGTTGTTGTTCTCTATTTGTTTGATTTTTTTTTCAATTTGATGCAGAGAGTCGAAATGGAACCAAAAACCGAAATTTACTGGAATTTTTAACTGAACCGTAACTGTAATCGGAACGAAAAATTGCTCAATTGAGAAAAAAACGGAACCGGAACGAAATTTTAATTACTGTTAATTTAAATATTGATTGATTTTTGTGTGTTGTTGTTCTCTATTTGTTTGTTTTTTTTTCAATTTGATGCAGTGAGTCGAAATTGAACCGAAAACCAAAATTTACTGGAATTTTTAACTGAACCGTAACTGTAATCGGAACGAAAAATTGCTCAATTGAGAAAAAAACGGAACCGGAACGAAATTTTAATTACTGTTAATTTGAATATTGATTGATTTTTGTGTGTTGTTGTTCTCTATTTGTTTGTTTTTTTTTCAATTTGATGCAGAGAGTCGAAATTGAACCGAAAACCGAAATTTACTGGAATTTTTAACTGAACCGTAACTATAATCGGAACGAAAAATTGCTCAATTGAAAAAACCGGAACCGGAACGAAATTTTAATTACTGTTAATTTCGGTTCAATTATTATTATTGCATTAAATTAATAGACATCCACAAAGTCTATTTGAATACTCCGAATTCTTTCAATAAAAATAGAGCCTCAATCACCAACAATCAACCACCAACTAAAAAGAGAAAATTTGAAGAACTAACATTAGAACAAACTAATTAATAGTTACTAATTAAGTTTTATTTCTTTTATATTTTCAATGTTATTATTGAAAACAATAGTAAAATTTTGTAAATAAAATTAAATTAAAATTTGAAATTGGAAATTTAAATTTCAACCGGAACTGAACCGAGCTTAAACTGAATCTGGAACGATAAACATTTACTTGGAACGTAACCGTAAACCGGAAAGAAATTAATTTCGGTTCGACTCTCTGATTTGATGTATTCGGGAATTGATTTCGGTTTGGATTTAGCGTGCAAATCCGTTTTTGAAAAGCGTCGTAATTAGTAGTTGTATCGGAGATTTAACCTTTTGTGCAGGAATTGGTTCGTTCCAAAAAAAGTAAAAAATAGGAATAATGTACGTATTGAAGTGCGGATTGAAAAATAGAAGAAGACAGGGATCGGTTGAAAGGTGGAAATGGAAATGGAGGCTGTCAGTGTTTTACATTTCCTTTTTGCCCGGTGTCGGTAATGCCGTTACATCCGCAGACCGGTGAGGGTAGGAGGAGGAGGACGAGGAGGAAAACGCTTTTATTTCCAGCTATTGGATTTTTAATTGAATCGTAGAACACGCTTATTATTCGGACGTTAAATGATCGAAAACGCAGCGGCGGAAATGTGTGGAACACTTTAAAAATCCGGACGGGAAAATTCTTTATTTATCAAAAAAAAAAAATCTGCATTTCAAACGTTTCAATTCGTCTGCTTTTATACCAATATTTTTCTATTTTATTTGTAAATGCAACGTTTAAAAAAAACACTCCATTCCATGAATCAATTGAAATCAAAAACATTTCCACTTTGAAGAAATTGATTAATTTATTGAAATTTTTGTATGATAGAAAAAAAAAAACAAGAATTCTATATTTTTCATCAAAAATATTACATTAAGTTTAGTACTAACCAAGGTAAAATGAAACTAGGTAAATTTGATACCTTTTCTCGTAAAATGCGTTACGTGTCTATCATTATTTACTTTAAATTGGATATTTTTATAGCTTATTCATTTTACAAATTTATTATGTAACATAATTAATTCGTATACTTTATGGTGTAGTTGAAGAAGTTTAAACGGATACAGACTTATGATTATTATGACGAACAGCGATAAATGGCATCAGAGTAGGCGGCGTAAACAAGGCCCACAAACACCGATCTTAATTGCATGGCCATTAAGACTAAAAGCATTCGAATGTCGACCACCTTCCATAAAATCCTGGAACGGTCGTATTATTGCTGTCGCGTCAAGATTGCGTATTAATTTTTACTGGCACATTTGGATTCGTCCACTTTTTTTTTTCTCCAAATTCAATATATTACGAAATTGCATACTTCATCTTCACTCTACGAGTCCAAAAAAATATCATAACACAATTTAAACTTTGCTGCAGCAAGAAAACGAAGTTTCACAAATGTAATAAGCAGGTATATTTTTACCCGGCGCGTCCATCCCTCTTTCTAGCGTTTTTTTTTTCACCCGGATGTTCTGCGAGTTGGTTTCTTTTTAAAGGTAAATGCGATAATCGTAAGAGCGCAAATGAAGAGGAAAAATCTGTTTAATTGCAGTCAAGTGTTGTTTTCTGGAAGTAATACAAGAAATAAAAGTTTGAACGCGAGGAACAATTTAATCAGGATTCTCACGCTGATTTCCTTTTCTTCTGCTTCTGCTTTTATTTGTATTTGCATCTTGTTTTAAGTAAATTGGAATGCAATTACGTAACTGCTCCGGCGGAGTGGAAGTGAGCTTTTGAATTTTTCAATTGCAGGTGAGCGAATTTCGTAAAAAGCTATTATTCTCGTCAGGTAATGAATTTTCTACAATAGATTCAATGACATTTTTAGAGAAACCTAAAATTTTCAAGATAATATTTAAAACTAAACATGATAAAATTATTACGTATTTGTTTAATGCGAAATTTTATTTTTTTATTGCATAATTTCACTATTGTTTCAGTTTGACAAAAAAAACTCTCATTTTTCGTGAATAAAAGTGTGCTCGTTTTTGAATGAAGAAACAGAGAAAAAGAAATGCGAATATTCGTTTCGTCCGGATGAGTTCTAATTCGAGTGAATGAGTCGTTTCGTGCGCGGTTTGCGGCTCAAAACGATGAAAAAAATAAAATGGGAATAATGCGATCCGGTAGAAATGTGGAAATTTTTCGATGCAGTCTCCAATGTTCGATTTCTATATTATTATAATAATTGTGTCTCGTTTCCTATTCATGCGAATCGAAATAAAAATTCAGCAATAATGTATGCTTCCGCTGTGGGAAATTCAAATTTTCAAATTCAATTTGTTTGCAGTGAATAAATATTGTGTTTACTTATATATGATAGTAAAACATTTTATAGTAAAATAACAATATTTAGAGAATATGTTGAAATAGTAATAGTTTGGATGATTTTTGTGTTTTTGTAGAAATCGTATATATTTACGTATGTTAGTAACACATTTCATATTAAAATAACTTGTGGAAATATTTAGAGAAAATATTGAAAATGTAATCATTAAAATTGTAATAGTTTGAATGATTTTTGTGTTTTGCAGAAATTGTATATATTTTCTTATGTTAGTAAAATTTTCTTATTCAAATAACTTTTGATAATATTTAAAGAATATATTGAAAATATATTAAGAAAAATAATAATAATTTCGACGTTTTTCATGTTTTGATGAAAACGTATATATTTTTATATGTTAGCACAATTTTCATATTAAAATAACTTTTGATAATATTTAAAGAAAATATTGAAAATCTAATAAGTAAAATAGTAATTATTTAGAAGTTTTTCCTGTTTTGATGAAAACGTATATATTTAGTTATACGTATATAACGTAAATACAATTTTCATATTAAAATAACTTTTGATAATATTTAGAGAAAATAATGAAAATGTAATCATTAAAATTGTAATAGTTTGAATGTTTTTTTGTGTTTTGAAGAAAACGTATATATTTACATATGTTAGTAGAATTTTCATATTAAAGTAACTTCCGACAATATTTAGAGAAAATGATGAAAATGTAATCATAGAAATTGTAATAGTTTGGATGTTTTTCGTGTTTTGCAGAAATCTTGTGTTTGTACAATTTTCTTATTAAGATAACTTATGAGAATTTTTAGAGAAAATATTAAAAAGTAATAAGAAAAGTCGTAATAATTTAGAAGCTTTTTGTATTTTGAGGAAAACGTATATATTTACGTATGTTAGTACAATTTTCATATTAAAATAATTTCTGACAATATTGAGAAAAAATGTAATCATAAAAATTGTAATGGTTTGAATGTTTATCGTGTTTTGCAGAAATCTTGTGTTAGAAAAATTTTCTTATTAAGATAACTTGTGATAATTTTTAGAGAAAATATTGAAAATGTAATAAGAAAACTTGTAATAATTTCGATGTTCTTCGTGTTTTGAAGGAAACGTATATATTTACATATGTTAGTACACATTTTTATATTATGATAACTTTTGATAATATTTAAAGAAATTATTGAAAATTTAATAAGAAAAATTGTAATAGTTTGGATGATTTTCATGTTTTACAGAAAACGTATATATTTTCATATTGAAATAACTTGTTGATAAAAATTGTAAACAGTTTGGATAAGTTTGTAATGAAACGTATATATTTTCATATGTTAGTAAAATTTACATACTTTAGAGACAAAACGTAATAATTTTCATTTGGAATAGATTTGTTGTTTTTTTTTCTTTGTTAAATAAGATTTAATCAATAAAGTTATAAAATGTGTTAATTTCACAAATTTCTTATGTATTTTCAATAAATCGAATGAATTTTACTAAATATAATCGTTTTTCCTAAATCTTATATTAAATTTTATAATGAACTATAGATTTTATAAATTAATCGTAGCAGAAGTTTAGAAACTAACAAAAACTATGTAAAATTCATGATGTTCGAAGAAGCGAAAGGAATATAATTACAAAAAGATCAACATCGTGGTTTAATTGAAAACTTGTTAACTAAATATTAGCATGCATTCTGCAAACCTTCCTCACGTAATATATTAACCAAGCGCTCATATTGTAATAATAATAATAATTTGAATACAACAATATTTGTTTGTGAATACTCAATTTTCCATGAAGCAACCAACATTTAACCCATTGTATATTTTATACTTAATAGAAATGCAAGTTTATGATTGTAAAGAAATAATAATAATAATACAATTATTATTTGAATAATTTAAACTATTATAAATAAATATTGGCCTGATTAAATATTTAATTAATGGTCAATACTAATTGTTTATTTTATTTGCGTTTATGCAATTGAATTGAACTAATAACAATATTTTCGCGTATAATAAAATTTTAATCGATTTTTAATATAACATAATGCTAGTATGCAATTGGTTTTATAATGAATTAGTTTCAAAATAATAATTATTTATAGATTTTCAGTCGCGTTTCCAATTAAAATCAACTAACAATGGGTTTGAAATCATTAAATTTCTGTTTCATTTTAAAATCGTTATGTATTAATGATGCAAACAAGAAAATACGACTATTGTTGTCTATGGTAAATTGGTGGATGCGCCGGGGTTTACATTATAAATTGATCAAATTTTGTTGGGAAAAAAAATTTATAATCATTTATTTAATTTTTGGAAGAAAATAAATTAATTAGTATAGAAGAAATGAAGAATTGTTGAAGAATTAATGAATTTTGGCTATAAATTGCAATTTCGAGGTATTAAAAGGGTGGATGCGCCGGGTTATCAAGTTAAAAATATTTGTTTGAAATATATTGTTTCTAATTTTGTAATGCATTTGTTTTAGGAAATTTAATTATTATTTTCAATACAATCAATACAAAATATTATATAAAAATAAGTAAAAAAAACTTTTTTAATTTGTTATGTAATATTTTTTTTGGTGGATGCGCCAGGTTTTTAAAAGAATTTTTTTCATGAATAATTGTAAAAAATAGTAATTGAAATGATCAAAATGTGTATGGTTCTTACCGAACGTTGAGAGAATGTGTGTGAGTGAGAGACTGGAGGATGCTCGAGGTTGTCAAAGTTGTTGCACAGTTGTCTTCGGCTGCAACTACAATGAGAAAATCGCGATCGCCCGCCGTTTATATGAACGTCGCGACGCGTCCCATCCGACCAATGGGAACGAGAGACGCGGTTACGTCACGCTGCCATCGGCCAATCAATATGCGTCTCCTTTGCACCTCCACGATATTCCTAACTACGTATACATATATATATATAAAATTATCATTTTTTTTTGCTCCCTTTTGATCATTTTCATCCGAGTAGGCGACGTAATTCCGAAACGAAACGCGAATGCAATTATCAATTCCATATTGCAAAAAAAAAGAAACTCCGAAACGCAACAGATTAATAGAAAAAAAAAGAAAATTTTAAAAGAAATATTAATTTTTCTCAACGTTAATGAAACACCTTTCGTAATAATTATTTTTTAGTGTCGACGAGGTGTTGTATTCAGTCATTATTTTGCGCTTTATGATTCGGTAAAGGAGATGCCCGTAACCGGATCGCATTTATAAATAAAGAATCTTGCGTTACGGTCACAGTTATGTATTCTTCTTTTCTGTTTTGTTTCATGTGTAATTTGATTTGTTTTTTTAGGTATCGAAAATATGAAAAAAAAAGAAGCATACATTGTAACCCCGAGATGCGGTGATGTTTTTATTAAACGTTGCGAATTAATCGCGCAGATAAATCTCGTTCGGTGTGGGCAATTTCCTAAATGATTGAACGTTGAAAAATTGGGGGAGAGATGATGATGATGATTTATGTGGGCGTAATCGCATTCGCAGACAATCGCGCTTGAAAAACGTGATTCGTTTGTTTGGTTTTCCTTTCATAGAAAACGCACACACATCTTATTTCGTATTTGTTTTAGTTTTCTGTCAATATCTTTATTTGTGTTTCGTTGAGTTTGGATGTGTTTACTGTTTAAACTCGATGAAACACTTTTGATATTTTAGTCAACATGAATTTGATTACAAGTTAATGGTTTCATTAGGTTTTTCATAAAATTTTATTGTTTAAAATCAATGTAGAATGAGTTTAGACTAAATATTTTGAATTACTTAAAATATATAATTATTATAAGTTTTTGTTTTTCATTAGTTATTAATCAAAGAAACTGTTTATATTTTGCATGTAAATTTGTGAAATATTTATAAAATATTGAAGACTTTTTAACAAAAAAATTTAAAAATTTGATCTACATATAATAAGTATTGACTTTTTTTCCTAGTCAATTTTTTAATTACTTTTTTCTTTGTTTGTTTTAATTATTATTATTGACTTAATTTTCATAGTTTATATTGCAATTTTTATACTCAATATTTTTTTGTATTTTTATAGTTTGTCTCCTGTTTCTTCACATTGAGATTTAACTCATATATGTTTTATTTACTTAATACATAAATTTTAAAATATTGAAGACTTTTTAACAAAAAAAAATAAAAACTCGATCTACATATAATAAGTATTGACTTTTTTTCCTAGTCAATTTTTTAATTACTTTTTTCTTTGTTTGTTTTAATTATTATTATTGACTTAATTTTCATAGTTTAAATTGCAATTTTTATACTTAATATTTTTTTATTTTTTTTAGTTTTTCTCCTGCTTCTTCACATTGAGATTTAAGTCATATATGTTTTATTTACTTAATACATAAATTTTGTATTTAAAAACAATCTAATTTTAAAAATATCTTGAAAAGATGTGAAATAATTATAAAATATTTTAGATGTTTAAATATGAATCTGATAAAATCAATTATGTATCAATTATATATATGTTTCATTTACTTAATATATAAATTTTAAAATATTTATAAAATATTGAAGACTTTTTAACAAAAAAAATTAAAAACTCGATCTACATATAATAAGTATTAACTTTTTTTCCTAGTCAATTTTTTAATTACTTTTTTCTTTGTTTATTTTAATTATTATTATTGACTTAATTTTCATAGTTTAAATTGCAATTTTTATACTTAATAATTTTTTAAATTTTTTACTTTGTCTCCTGATTCTTCACATTGAGATTTAACTCATATATGTTTTATTTACTTAATACATAAATTTTAAAATATTTATAAAATATTGAAGACTTTTTAACAAAAAAAAATTAAAACTTGATCTACATATAATAAGTATTGACTTTTTTCCTAGTCAATTTTTAATTACTTTTTTTCTTTGTTTGTTTTAATTATTATTATTGACTTAATTTTCATAGTTTAAATTGCAATTTTTATACTTAATATTTTTTAAATTTTTTAGTTCATCTCCTGATTCTTCACATTGAGATTTAACTCATATATGTTTTATTTAATACATAAATTTTAAAATATTTATAAAATATTGAAGACTTTTTAACAAAAATAATTAAAAACTCGATCTACATATAATAAGAATTGACTTTTTTCTTAGTCAATTTTTTAATTACTTTTTTCTTTGTTTGTTTTAATTATTATTATTGACTTAATTTTCATAGTTTAAATTGCAATTTTTATACTTAATATTTTTTTAATTTGTCTCCTGTTTCTTCACATTGAGATTTAACTCATTTGTGTTCTATATACTTAATACATAAATTTTGTATTTAAAAACAATCTAATTTTAAAAATATCTTCAAAACATGTGAAATAATAATAAAATAATTCTGATAAAATCAATTAAAATCTTCATCTATATATAATAAGTATTGATTTTTAAGTAGAAAATGATAATTTTGTTAGTTTTAATTTTAACAATATCTTTTTTTTTATTTTCTCTCTTAATTCTTCATATTGAGTGTTAATCTTTTTGTGAGTTGTTCATATGTTCCCTATGCACACACTTAATCCATATGATACAGCCTTGTGTATCAAATATACTGTGGAAAACAATACTTTTGTGTCTATGTGAAATGCATTGGTTTGCTCTAAATATAGTTCCAATTGTTGCTGTAAATCGTCTCAACAGTTCGTGTAGTGTGCACGTTCCAATTCAGTTGTTACAACTACATATTTTCATCCATTCTATAAAATATTTATATTATTCCATAGTAAATTATAGTTTTGTTAATGATCAGCAAACTCTTGTAGTTTTTACATTTTACCAATTTTTTTTCAATAACAATATTTTGAACACAACAAAAGTTATTTAGTAAATTGCTATTTCTTATTGATCATCGTTCTACTAAATTTAATCAAAATTTACTGATTTCTGTTTTACATAAATTTATTTGAAATGTTTGCAAAGATTCTTAATTATATAATTAATTAATATTAAATGTTCTACATAATTAACATTTACATTTTGTAATGTTTTTTTCGTGATTAATTAGAATAAGAAACTGATTTAATTTTATTATTTTTCAGTTCTGAAATGTTTTTTCTTCAATATATTTCATTGATGAAGCAATAATTTTATTTAATGATTGTATATTTAATTTGTAATTTAACGATGCAGACGGGAAATGTGAGAGGTGAAACTTGAGGTTGTGATGAAAAGAAAAGGGAAGAAAATAGTGATTAAATTAAGTCGTGAATTATATAGTTGCTTATAGACGAACATTAATAGTAATTAGAGGGCCGAAGAAGACTGCAAAGTTTACTCCTTTTATTTCATTTTTTTTCTGTGTGTGTGTTTCATCTTCGCACACTATGCGCCAAACGAAATGAATTTTAATTAAACCTTTCCTAATTAGAAAATACGATACGCCACGATCTGCACGTTCATCAGCAGTCACAGAAAAATAATGAAACGGGTTGAGAATAATAACAAAAAAGAATTGCGGGGGATCGAGGTGAGGTCTCAAACATCAAATATTGTTCAGGAAACACAAATATTGTCGTTTCGTTTTGTTTGAGTGGAAGAGGGTGTACATTTGAAACAATGACGTCTCCACTTCTGGAATCCAGCAGTGAAACCCTGTGATTTCGCTCCTCGCACACAAACGGACCGCACCGCAAATCCCTGCCACTTCGACGATTGTTCGCTAATCCGATGATACCTAGTTGCATTATACACGTCTTCAGTTCTCGCTTCCTGTGCAATGCAAATTGCACGATTAGAGGTCACTGATGTATTATGCACGGATCTAAGAAGATCTGTAGCATTTGCAGAAGAGACTTCTATTATTGTATCAATACCACAAGGATTTTGACAACTTTCTTTCTAATGCAAAACGCATTTACAAGAATAAGAATTATTTACTTAATCAGGACCACAAATTGATAACGTATACAATTTTCAATGATTTCTTAGTAATTATAAAGATGGTAACATTTGTACCACAAAAACTATAAGAAGTTTAAATATTATAAAATTTTAGAAGACGTTCGAAGATGATGCTGTATCAATACTAGCAGCATTTATAGAGATATCTATTATTGTATTAATACCATAAGGATTTTAACAACTTTCCTTTCCAAGCTTTTCTAATACAAAACACATTTACTAGAATAGGTTTTAACTTAATTAAAATAACAATTTAATAACGTATGCAAATTACAATGATTTCATAGTAATTACAAAGATGGGAACATTTGCTGTACCAAAAACTGTAACAAGATTAAATATTATAAGATTTTAGAAGACGTTCGAAGATGATGTTGTAACAATACCAGAAGCAGAGACAACTGTTATAATATCAATACCACAAGGATTTTAACAACTTTCCATTCCAAGCTTTTCTAATACAAAACACATTTACTAGAATAGGTTTTAACTTAATTAAGACAACAATTTAATAACGTATCTAAATTACAATGATTTCATAGTAATTACAAAGATGGGAACATGCGTGCTACCAAAAACTGTAACAAGATTAAATATTATAAAAATTTTAGAAGACCTTCGAAGATAATGCTGTATCAATTACCAGAAGTATTTGTAGATACAACTGTTATAGTATCAATACCACATGGATTTTAACAACTTTCCATTCCAAGCTTTTCTAATGCAAAACATATTTAGATGAATAGCTTTTAACTTAATTAAGACAAAAATTAAATAATTTATCTAAATTACAAAGATTTCTTAGTAATTACACAGATGGGAAC